AAATATTAAAAAAAATTATTATTATGCTTTCTTTATGTATTTCGATGATGTCTTGAGGTGATTATTTATTTATTTATATTATTTATTACATTTATACCCCCATTGAATTCGTTTGCACATTCTTTTTTCACCTCAAATGAGCTATCACATTTGATATGTGGTGGTTCAAATATTCTTTACCTGAACGAAGCTTGCCACCTCTACGCGGTGTTCAGGAGATACGGTTATAATTTGAACTATAACTGGCTAAGCGCAAGCATTTAACGCCCTTTTAAAAGTTGTAATTGCTTAATAATTAATATTCAATAAAACTCGAAAAAACAATTCATTCAAAGTGACTGTTTTTAATATCACATAATTCTATCAATAAACGAACATTTATCAAGAAAATATTCCCATCTAGAATAATTTATTTCGATATGCATAAAATAAATCGCAATATTATTTTTATTAAAAAAAGTAATTAAAAAAGGAGTAAAATTTATATCTATGATGCAATCATGAATTATCAATTATAGAAAACATTACTGATAAAAGATTTTAATCTTTTAATTTTTTTTTTTTTTCTTTTTTTTGAAAAACGACAGCCGATGAACATAATTTCTTCAAAATAAAAAAAGTATAGCGCATTTTCTCACGCCCCGCATCATGACATTGATGGAAAATTAATTATTACGCTTTATTTTTTAAGTCCTTTTTCTGAAATTTCTAACTTGGTTATCAAATTCTTCATGTCCAGATTTTTTATCATTATCTCTCCATTTTGATAGGAATATTATAACCAACATCGGAACTTTATGTCTCATTCAATTCATGATTGATGACTGTATTATTCCTTTTTATTTTTTTTCTCAGAGAAATCTATTTTTTATTGGCCGCGGTAGTGCGGCTATAATAAAAATGAGGCGTAATTCAAACAAAGCTTTATCATAATTTCTATGAAAAAACAATCATTAATAAAAAATAAAAATGGTCATAAAAAAAGCGCGAGCGATATTAAAAATGAAATTTAGATAAGTAAAAAAAAGAAACTAAAAAACTAGACTAAAAAATTAAAACACATCCACGCCGACAGAGATCTTAAATATTAATAATAAATAATTTTAAAGAAAATTTCATTCTATCGCAGCGTCCTAAAGTGAGGAAACCAAAGTAAAACGAAAGTTAAACGAAAGTTAAGAAATACAAATAACAAAAAAAAATATCCAACTAATAGATTTTTTCAGATTTTTAGATTGATTGTAAAAAAAAAAAAAAAAAAAAAAATTTATAGTAAAATTTTATAGTATTTCGTGATCAGTACAAGTCAAATATAACAATTTAAATTTTTTTCAAAAAATTTTTTTTTAAAAAAAAAAATTATCCACATCTACTGCGGTAACAAATAGTTCAACTCGAATTCAATCATGGTTTACTCTTTGATGGACATAGCATGCGATCATGTAACAAAGCCATTTTTGTTGATGGCATTTGAAAATAAGATTTATAAAGGTGAGCCTATAATTTACACTAATGTAAACAATCCAATATCCTACAAATTTGCTATAATGCAACAATGATATTGAGGTGCGGCGACTCTGTTGCCGCTAAATGATAATATCTATTGTACAAAATTTTATTTTTATATTGTGGTATTATTACTATATAATTCTTTTAATGTAAGAGCATTTGAAATTGGTTCTATTATAATGTATAAATATTCTTTTATTTGAATAATTTGTCATTGTTCTTTATTTTTTTTTTATTATTTTTTTTTATTTCCCACCCCGAACTTTTTATTTTTATTTTTATTTTTTTGTTTTAATTTATTGTCTCCCCCCATTCTTTTTTTTTATTATTTTTTAATTTCATTTTTTTTTTTTTAGTTTAGTTTTATTTACTTTTAATTATTAATAATATTAATCGCGATTTTTAATATACCGGAGACTTATTTTCCCTGAAACCCGGGGCATTGTCGGGTAGAATTTTTAGTAATAAACAATAGAAAGAATAATAAAAAGAAAATTTTGTCACGCACCTGACTGCGCTGTCGTGACGAACTGACCGATACGAATCTTTTTTTTTTAAAAAAAATATTCAAACAACATTTATTCCTTGAGGTAGATTCCTCCTCTACCTTATCCTCTACACTATCCTTTACCTTTTAGTGTCAGTGTTAGTGACAGTGTTAGTGTTAGTGTTTGTATTAGTGTAGGGTAATAATAAGGTATATAATAATGGCCGGTCGTTGGAGTTACACGAATCACCTAAAAAGACGTTTTTTTGAGAAGGAGGAAATTTTTTCGTCGCTAAAAGTCCCAGAAATCCGGTTCATACTAATAAAATCACACTAAATTTTTTTTTTTTACAATAAACATCGATACTCCTTTATTATATATAGTATGTTAACGTTAAATAAATTATTGATTAATAATTTTTTTGATTTATGATTTTATAGGTTAGATTGGTTGATTCGACACTTTGGTTCGTCACAGCGACGCAGTAAGATGGGTACTTATTTTTTTTTTTTTTGATTATTAAACAAAAATAAAAATTAAAATTAAAAATTAAAAAAAAAAAATTAAGAAAAAGTAAAAAAATAAACATGAGACCGAAGGAGAAAAAAAAAATAATAAAAAATTAAAAAAAAATAAATAAATAAATAAATAAAATTTATAATTAATAGAAAACAATTTTGCCGCTTTCTTTTAAACACCTTAGGTAATTCAACTTGGTAGGTGGTAAGGCTCAGTAGATAAATCCCATTCTCATTGATCTTCTCTAAGGGAATTAATTCTGACTTAACATTTGGAAAATTATAGAGGTAAATTTTGAATTGAAATAAATTGTCGCAATTCTTGTATATATTAATTAAAAGGGTGAGTGGTTAAAACACCAAAATTTAACAGAAGTTCCTTTAACATTAATGACTCATTTGGCTTTCTTGGAAGGTGAAACTTAAGGTGTCGATAGTAGTTCTATTATATTTTCTTTAATAAATGATTTCAAATCATGGGGATAAAATCTGGAACCGTAAATAATTAAAAAGATTATTCTTCAAAATCATCATCCTCATATTCCTCCTCCTCGTCATTGTCATCATTCTTAACAAGAGATCTTGGTCTCGTCATTCCTAATGAGTCAAATGATTATCTGACGTCATTGTTTCTATAGGGCTCTAGAGGTGCGACAGTCAATAAAAAATAATCCAAATTGGAAACTTGGAACTTTTTGATTGTAGTATATCCTAATGGAATAATTTGATGGTTGATTTTTTTTGAAAAAAAAAGCTTAATTCTAATAATGAATTTTTAAAAAACAAATATAACTTTTTTTTTTGTTAGTTAATGGTTAATGTTCTTTATAAATATTTAATAATTTTTTTTTTTTGGAATGACCGAAACAATTTTTGCATTTTAATTTTGTGTTCTAAACTTCTGTTAAAATTTAATTAAAGATATAATTCACATACATTTTTAAAAATTGATATGTTCAATAAAAAAAAATATAAATGAATATATACTAATTAAAATAAATGCGATTAAATTTTGATGCATTTCTTATTAAAATATTATACGTTTAAAGTTTGCATTCATTCTGGTTCTTCTTGTTGTAAGTAATTTTCAGCATCAGAAAATCTTTTGGTGGTGTAGCATTTTAGCTAAAATCGATATATTTATTTCCGATTACAATGATTACTTCGATATCAATCTGAAGTTCCCTAAAAATAAAAGAAATGTTTTTAAGATCCTTAAAATTAAAAAAACACGCATTGTCTCCCTTACTCAAGTCCAGTTTGTTCAAGTCGTCGTTCTAAAAAATAAAGAAATAAACGTTGAAAACGTTGCTAAAGGACCAATACCTCAATTTAAAAAATCATGAAGTTTATGGCTTTTAGTATTAGAAAAAAAATATATTAAAAACTTTTACAAAGTAGTGTCTAATACTCGGAATTTTTTTTTTTTAAAAAAAAAATAATATAAATTTTAATGTTTTCGTGTTTATATTTCAAAGACAAAAAAGAGCTAGAACTAAATGACGGTACATACTTTATTAGAAATCAACATCCATGCGTTAGTCTTTTGATAAGAAAGGTAATCAACATTTATTTATGCATTTAATCGCATACCTTCAATGATATAACCTAGTATATTAAGAACTTGAACTTGAATTTGAATTTTGATTGAACCATTATATTATATCGAATATTAAGTAACTATTCATGCTCAATTGTTATTATGAAATCTAGAAATCAGGTCTTTGATTTTCATTTATTTTAAATTGATCTCATAGGAAATCTTAATAACTTTTTGTATTAAATTTTAAAATTTAAAACAAAAGCAAAAGAAAACGAGTTGCGTAAAGAGAAGCATCAAGAACATGAAAAATAAACCGGGATATTTCTGCTTGGTTTTGAAAGGAAAATGCTAATAACTTAAAATCTTGAATCTCTATACTACTATCTAGCTTAAATATATTCTATAAAAGATTATGATTAATTTGTTAAAATCGAATGATGAAAAGCTAAAACTTTGTGATTTGTTAATTAATATTCTATAAATGTTTTATTATAAATTTTTCAATGGAATTGTCGAAAATATTTATTGTTGTAACAAGTTATGAATACGAATAAAAAAATACATTTAAAAAAATCTTTTTTAAAAAATGTTACACAAACCCACTGGATCTACATTCAATTTACGCATATTGATTGGGATTCCTAAATCTTGTATCAAATGTATAAAATTATATTATTTTGAAATGGGTTAATAGTTATTTTTGGTAAATAAAAGGTTTGATGATTTAGTACAACAAAGTGAGTTTCAAGGCCATAAATATTATAGTCAAAGTTTGGCACCTTTGATTCGTTTATATCGTTTGTCATTTTTTTTAAATTGTGCGACAAACATTTCATTACTTTGACTAAAAATATAACTTTTCTTCACAGCTCAATACCCTTTATTAGGAAAGATTATGAGTTCAGATACAATATCCGAGCTCGATGAATTCTGCATTGAATTTATACAGACTTTAACTGGTATAGATTAACTGAAGAACAAGAAGAATTGCTCGACGAATTAATACCAAATGAAGAAGCAAAAAGACGATTTAAAAAGCATAGATTGTGTAGGTTGTGTAGACAACCTAATACTTGTCATTATTGGTGTAATTCCTGTAATTCAAAATATTTTCAACAAGATTTCAACAAATGGACGAATGACAATAAAGCTGAATTTATACAACAGAGTTAATTAAATGCAACCAGTAGTCATGGGTATTAGAATGGATACCTTTTGATAAGATTCAAAATGTTGAATATATTGCAAGCGGTGGGTTTAGTAAGGTATTTAAAGCGATTTGGATCGATGGATGTATTTTATGTAGGGATGAGGAAAGTGACCAATGGCAAAGACTTCATTATAAAGGAATCGCTTTAAAAATTTTATAAAGTTCACAAAATATCTCGAGAGATATTTTCAAGAGGTTAACTGATAATCGCGTTCCTCGGTTTTTGAAAGAAAATTATATTAGAAGGTCGATGGGTGACTCAGAGCATACTCTAAACAGGTAGAATTTTATTATATATAATCTTTCTAGTTTAAAAACTTAAAAGTGAGAATCATCCAAGCGCTTTGGCCTCAATTTTCTTAAGAGGTGCCGTTCATATAGTTAGTTCATCAACGGAGCAACGTGTCTTAACCAATTTTGTGACATTTTCGAGTGACTTATCAGGTTAAAGTTACCAAAGTCAGTTTAAAATTTAATTATTGATATCGGAATGAGCCGGTTAACTTTTAGATGGTTAACTTGTTAACTGGTTAAAGCTATTCTTTAACAGGACAGGTTAAAATAATTAATTATAATTTTGACCTAAAATTGCAAAAAAAAATACTCCTGATCTGCCCAATTTATAGTGCTAGCCGAGTTAAATTTAACCAATAAATTAACTGTTAAAGAGGTTAATCGGTCGGTTAATACTTTTTAGGCCGGTTCCAACCTCTATACTGATATCAGATTCTGATAATTGGACGTTGAGATAATGAATAGGAGTGGATGTTATTTGAAAGCCATCATAAAACGGGCTAACCGGAGAATTAACTGCGATATGCATACAGATGTCCTGCAGAATACGTGTTTAAATTATATGTACCTAGGGTTGGCCTTATTGTTCATATTTTGCAATAAAGCATACATAAGACTAAATAAAGTTCCATTCTACGCTTCCAATTTTCTAAAATGTTAAATCGTTGTAATATCTCCCTTTAAGGATTTTAGAATTATATTGATCTCGTATATTTACTTGATATTGGCACTGATTTATTAGGATCGATCAACTAACTGAATTCTGAAACAGAAGTAGCATTTATGAACTTATACTTTTATAATCATATGGAAGCTTAGACATTACAAAAAACGGAAGCGGTACCCTTGCTGGGATGGGAGCGCAGGAAATATACGAATTTAACGATTTGTAATACAAATTGTCATTGGCGCAGTAGTTATATAATTTATTATAACTTCACAATTATATTAAATAAATATTTTATTTATGCGATTACAAACTGCTTTTAGCTACTATACAGTGCTCGCTTAAACTGTTTAAATTATATGAATTAATAGTAAAAGAAAAATTTATACAATCCTTATATTTGATATTTAGAATCCGTTACTATAATGTTAAGAATATGAATTAATAAGCATGTAATTTACAAGATTTAAAACCAAATAGATAAACGTACCAGATAATTCTGCAAAAGTATCAAACTGAATGTTTTCAGATGAATTATTGTCGACATGTGATTCAGAAACAGAATTATTTGATGTTGCATCATTTTCTATAAATATTTAAAATATTTATCTCAATTAAAATATATCACAGTTATAAAACAAAAATATTAATTACTTATACAAATAAGTACCTTCGGATGTTTCATTTTTAATACTTCTTCTAAAGCCCATATTTGAAAATGCTTCTAATATCTCTATAATAGTTGGTCTTTGCTTGGGTTCCTGGCGCCAGCAATTTTTGTAAAGTTTTTCATAATCTTTAGGAGTATTTGATTTGGCATCTTCACGAGTTTTATTAATAATAGCAAATAAAATTTTATCATGATCATAATTTCTAAATGGAGGATGTCCACTAGAAATTTCCCACATCAATACACCATAACTATAAATATCTGAAGGTTTAATATATTGAAATTTTGGATTTGCAAGTATTTGAGGTTCCATATAGGCAACTTTACCAAAAGTTCCAATTAGTATAGTTGAATTATTTTCAATTTTTGAAATACCGAAATCTGTGATTTTGGCATTATTTTCATGAATTACTATATTTTTAGAATGCTAAATAAAATATAAATTAATAATAAGTCATAAATATATATATATAAAATAATAAAAGCAATATTTACAAGATCCCTATGAATGACATCCTCATTATGTAAATAATTCAATCCATCTGCGATTTGAAATGCTAATCTCTTCTTATCGTCCCAAGTTAAATTTTTAAAATTATAATTAAGATAATTGTGAAGATTACCACCATTAGCATATTCCATTACGAGTAAAAATTCTTTAGTAATTTGATCTGTAAAAATATCAAATGAGATTTTTTTGTTTTTTTTTTTTTTAAAAAAAACAATAATTTATTATATTAATTACCTTGACTAATACCTAAGAAACGTATAATACGATTACTATAATTAAGACGCAAATGTACTCTTAATTCATAAATAAATGCATTTAATTTATCGCATTTTAATGCTCCTGTGTTAGTTAATTTTTTGTAAACAATATAATCGCTTGTTTTTAACCAAGTTGCTTTAATTATACTTCCAAACCCTCCTTCATCAAGTGGTTCTGAATCAATTAACTCATTAAATGATATAAATTTAACTTTATTTTCCAACGAATTATTAATAAATTCAATTGTATTATTATTATTCTTATTCTGATTATCTACATATTTTCCAACACTTTTTTCAGGTTTATTTCCATTTTTTATTAATTTTTGATGCCATTCAAATGCTTTTTTTAAATCTTCTTTTATCCCTATTCCATATTCATAGCATTTAGCTAAATTATACTGCGCATCTCTATTTCCATTTTCTGCTGATTTTTGATACCAATAGAAAGCTTTTTCTAAATCTTTTTTAATACCCATACCTTCTTCATAAAATAATCCTAATTTGCATTGTGCGATTTCATTTTCATTTTCTGCTGATTTTTGATACCAATAAAATGCTTTTTTAAGATCTTTTTTAATTGTTACACCTTTTTCATAAAAAAAACCTAAATTATATTGTGCAAACTCATTTTCATTTTCTGCTGATTTTTTATACCATTTTAATGATTCATCCATATTTTTTTTAATTCCTAATCCATAATGATAACAAATAGCTAAATTACATTGTGCAACTATATTTTCATTTTCTGCAGATTTTTGATACCAATAAAATGCTTTTTCTAAATTTTTTTCTACACTTATACCTTTTTCATAAAAATATCCTAAATCGTTTTGTGCATTACAATATCCTTGATTAGCTGATTTTTCATACCATTCAAATGCTTTATTATTATCTTTTTTAATATTCTTTCCATAATAATAAAAATTACCCAAATTATATTGTGTAATTTTATTTCCATTTTTGGCAGCTTTATAATACCAAACAAATGCCTTTTCTAAATCTTTCTCTCTATTTATACCTTTTTCATAAAAAGATCCTAAAATATTTTGTGCATCATTATTTTCTTGTTTTGCTAATTTTTCAAAATATTCAAATGCTTTATTAATATCTTTTTCAATACCTTTTCCATAATAATAACAATTACCTAAACTAAATTGTGTATTACTATTACTTTGATTTGCTAATTTTTGATACCAATAAAATGCTTCTTCTAAATTTATTACAACTCCCAATCCATATTGATAACATTCAGCTAAACTATATTATGCATATTTATTACCATTTTTAGCTGATGTTTTATACCAAAAAAATGCTTTTTCTAAATTCCTTTTAATTATCAATCCATTTTGAAAAAATTTAGATAAATTATATTGTGCATTTTTATTACCATTTTCTGCTGACTTTTGATACCAATCAAATGCTTTTTTTAAATTCTTTTTAATTCCCCATCAATTTTGATAACATTCAGCTAAAGATTTTTGTGCAATTTCATTTTTATTTTCTGCTGAAATTTCTAAACAAGAAAATGCTTCTGTATTACCATTTTCTGCTGATTTTTGATACCAATAAAATGCTTTTTTTTAAGTTATTTTCAATTCCATATCCATTTTGATAACATTTGGCTAAACTATATTGTGCATTTATGTTATCACTTTTAGCTAATATTTCATATAAAATAAATGCTTTCTCTAAATCTTTTTTTATTCCCCATCCATTTTGATAACATTCAGCTAAAAATTTTTGTGCAATTTCATTATCACTTTCTGCTATTATTTTTAATTGAGAGAATGCTTCTATATTATCAGTTTTTGCTGATTTTTGATACCATTTTGATAACATTCAGCTAAAGATTTTTGTGCAATTTCATTTTTACTTTCTGCTAAAATTTGTAAATGAGAAAACGCTTCTATATTACCATTTTCTGCTGAGATTTGTAACTGATAAAATGCTTCTATATTACCATTTTTTGCTGATTTTTGATACCAATATAATGCTTTTTTTAAATTTTTTTTTTCACACTTTTTTTGAAAAAATTCAGCTAAATAATATTGAGCTTTATAATTATTTTGATCAGCAGACTTTTGATACCAATAAAATGCATTTTTAAGATTAATTTCAACTTCCCATCCATTATTATAACATTCAGCTAAATAATATTGTGCAAGTTTATTATCATTTTCTGCTGCTACTTTTAAACAATAAAATGCTTTTATATTACCATTTTTTGCTGACTTTTTATACCAATAAAATGCTTTTTTTAAATTCTTTTTATCACACTTTTTTTGAAAAAATTCAGCTAAACAATATTGAGCATTATTATTTTCACTTTCTGCTAAAATTTGTAAATAAGAAAATGCTTCTGTATTATCATTTTCTACTGAGGTTTGTAACAGATAAAATGCTTCTATATTACCATTTTTTGCTGATTTTTGATACCAATATAATGCATTCTCTAAATTCTTTTTAGTTCTCCATCCATTTTGATAACATTCAGCTAAAGATTTTTATGCAATTTCATTTTCACTTTTTGCTAAAATTTGTAAATAAGAAAATGCTTCTATATTACCATTTTCTACTGATTTTTGATACCAATAAAATGCTTTTTTTAAGTTATTTTCAATTCCACATCCATTTTGATAACATTTGGCTAAACTATATTGTGCATTTATATTACCCCTTTTAGCTAATATTTTATACAAAATAAATGCTTTCTTTAAATCTTTTTTTATTCCCCATCCATTTTGATAACATTCAGCTAAATTATTTTGTGCAATCTCATTATCACTTTCTGCTATTATTTTTAATTGATAAAATGCTTCTATATTACCATTTTTTGCTGATTTTTAATATCAATATAATGCTTTTTCTAAATTCTTTTTAATTTCCCATTCATAATAATAATATTTAGCTAAAATATATTATGCTATTTCATTATGATCTTCTGCTGTTACTTTTGTCCAATAAAATGCATTTATATTACCATTTTTTATTAATTGTTGATACCATATAATGCTTTTTTTAAATTCTTTTCAATTGCCCACCCATTATAATAACATTTAACTAAACTATATTGTGCAATTTCATTATCATTTTCTGCTACTACGTTTAACCAATAAAATGCTTTTGTATTATCATTTTTTGCTGACTTTTGATACCAATAAAATGCTTTATCTAAATTTTTTTCAATTTCCCATCCATTTTGAAAAAATTTAGCTAAATTATACTGTGCATTACTATTATTTTGATCAGCTGATTTTTGATTCCAATAAATTGCATTTTTAAGATTTATTTCAACTCCCCATCCATTTTTATAACATTCAGCTAAGCTATATTGTGCATTGCTATTATTTTGTTCAGATAATTTTTGATACCAATAAAATGCTCTTTTTAAACTTATTTCAACTCCCCATCCATTTTGATAACATTTGGCTAAATTATATTGTGCATTTATATTATCATTATTTACTAATTTTTGATGCCAAAAAAATGTATTTTTTAGCTTTTTATAAATTTTCCATTCATATTGAATAATTTTACTATCATTTTCTACTGCTACTTTTAACCAACAAAATGCATTTAAATTGCTATTTTTTGCTAATTTCTGAGACCAATATAATGCTTTTTCTAAATTCTTTTTAATTGCCCATCTATTATAATAACATTTAGCTAAACTATATTGTGCAATTTCACTATCATTTTCTGCTGCTATTTTTAACCAATAAAATGCTTTGATATTACCATTTTTTGCTGACTTTTTATACCAATAAAGTGCTTTTTTTAAATTCTTTTTTTTCACACTTTTTTGAAAAATTCAGCTAAACAATATTGTACGTTATTATTATCTTGATCAGCTGATTTTTGATACCAATAAAATGCATTTTTAAGATCTATTTCAACCTCCCATCCATTATTATAACATTCAGCTAAATAATATTGTGCACTACTATTATTTTGATCAGATGATTTTTGATACCAATAAAATGCACTTTCTAAATTTATTTCAATTTCCCATCCATTCTGATAACATTTAGCTAAATTATATTATGCATTACTATTATTATTTATTGCAAATTTTTGAAATAAATTAAATACTAAAATAATAACATAAAAATTAAAATTTAATATTTTTAAATTAAATTTAAAAAAAATAATAAATTAATTAAAATATTATAAAATAATAATTTACCTATTATAATATTTTAAAAGTTTTTTATATAAAATATAATAAATATGATTTATACACTATATTATTATTATAATTTATTAAAT